TGCTGGTATTCATAGCGCAGATGTTTGGTTTTTCTTCTTCACTGGGTAGCTTGTTGACCTAGGAGGAGATAACTAAAAAAAGGGAACACGTAGGTCCATGCAATAAATAACCATTGCTATGTTCTAGAGAAATCTGGTTGTAAGGGGGCTCGACATCGCAGTGATGAAAAAAATGAAAGATGCTTCTACAAATAAAGGACCAGAATATTGGGCTCCCCGAAAGTTTAGAATACCGTGTCTGTGAGGTTTTCCTCCATTTTCAAAGCGATTATTCTAGTCAGCGGCTCAGGGGAGCCAGAGCATAACCCAGCAGGCTATGGGCACAAGACACCATGCCTGTCCATCACGGGGAAGACTATGCGTTTTTGGACAGTGGGAGAAAACTCCAACATAAATGACGGGGGAACATGCAAACTCCACACAGACAGCACCCCGGGTCCGGAATTAAACCCAGGGCCCCAGCACTGCGCAACAGCGATGCTACCCACTGCCCCACTCACTGAGGAATCTCAGACAGCTATCTTAGCAACACTAGAGTGTTGAATTACAAGTCATATGGGGACAGTGTCCTTAGGGGCGTGAATATGAATTTCCCACTGCAAGCAGGGTAGCTGCGACAGCATGTGCAGGCTGCAAAGGAACATTCCCTGCTGAGAAGAGAAGAAACACAACGTTTCGGCTGTGGAGCCTTCTTCTGGTGTGAGGAAGGCCTGATGAAGCCCCACCTGAAGAAGGCTCCACAGCCGAAATGTTTTTCTTTTCAGTTTGGAACTAACCTTCACCTGTTTCTCACTACAATATAAGTATTGAATACACTAAACACATATACAGAGTGGACACTATACTGTAAAAAGGCCATCTTGCTTTGGATGAGACGTAAAACCGAGGTCCTGACTCTCTGTGGCCATTAAAAATCCCTGGGCATTTCTCAATCTCCTTTACCAGTCATGGCCTCCTAATAACCCCCCTCTCTGAACTGGCTTCATCACTCTGCTCTCCTCCCCACTGAGAGCCGGTGTGTGGGGAGAGTACTGGAGCATCATCCAGGTGGGGCTGCACACTGGTGGTGGAGGGATTATTTTTAACTATTAATGCTCAGAAACGTGCCAGAGATTTTTATATCCGATCTTAGTGAAATCTGCTCTTATTTACAGTGGAATAGGTGACTGTAGTGTAACTCTCACCATCAAGTGGACTAATGAGTGAATTAATGTAGGAATAATAATAATTGCTTACACTTATCTGGTGCTTTTCTGGACTCTCCACTCAAAGCGCTTTACAGGTAAGAAGGATCCCCTCCACCACCAGTGTGCAGCCCCACCTGGATGATGCTCCAGTACTCTCACCACACACCAGCTCTCAGTGGGGAGGAGAGCAGAGTGATGAAGCCAGTTCAGAGAGGGGGATTATTAGGAGGCCATGATTGATAAAGGCAAGGTAGAAACACTCTGGGATTTTTAATGACCACGGAGAGTGAAGATCTTGGTTTTACAGCTCACATGAAGGACAGTACCTGTTTACAGTCTAGTGTCCCCGTCACTGTACTGGGGCATTAGGAACCACACAGGCCACAGGGTGAGCGCCCCCTACTGGTCCACTAACACCTCTTCCAGCAGCAGCCTTAGCTTTCCCAGGAGACTTCCATCCAGGTACTGGCCAGGCTCACACCCGCTGAGCTCCACTGGGCTGCTAGCTGGGAGCTGCAGGGGGATATGGCCCTTGCCCTTTTTCAAAACATTTAGCTGTCAGTCCCCTTTTCTCAGAAAGTAAAAATACCGTGGCCTTTGCAAAAGATGAGCTAGGGACACAGCCTGCCACCCCTCACCAGGGCCAGGCTGAGGTGCAAGCTCCCTGAAGGGAAGAGAAGTCAAGAGGATACCGTCCACCCTGTGCGCGCTAACCACAAAACTGTGACACCACTACCCCTCCCCGCCTAGCACAAAGCCAAGGCAGGAACTCACCCACCTGCAGAAAATTAAACTGGGAGACAGGAAAGACTTCAAGAGAGAGGACGCCCTGTGGTCCATCTACCCCTTTAAAACCTCGAGTTCCACACTCCCACCACTCTGAGAAAGATGCCAACAGCCCTTGCATTAGGGCATTAGGACCAACTTAGGGGTCCTAATGCCCCAGTACAGTGATGGGACCACTTTATTGTACAAAGGCACCGTCCTTTGGATGAGATATCAAACTGAGGTCCTGACTCTTTGGGGTCATTAAAAATCCTAGGGCATTTCTTGAAAAGAGTAGGGGTGTGACCCTGGTGTCCTGGCAAATTTCCCCCTGACCTTTGCCAGTCATGACCTCCTATTAATGTCTTACCTCATCCAGGTGGGGCTACACATTGGTGGTGGTGGTGGGATTTCCCATTTCCTGTAAAGAGCTTTGAGTGGAGTCTCCAGAAAAAAAACTCTATTTAAGTGTAAGGAATTATTAATTATTGTTATTTAAAAATAAATATTAAATATTAAAAAAAACAGATGGCTGTCACAAGACCTTGAATACAGAATCATGCCCAACAAAAATGGGAGATTTCACCATCTTGTATCGAAGCTGGACTTTATATGTTCTCCCAGTATTTGCTTGGGTTTCCTCCCACTGTCTGAAGACCTGCTGCTGGGTTAATTGGCTTCTGGGGAAATTGGCGCTGGTGTCTGTGTTAGGGTCTGTCTGCCCTGTGATGGGCGTCCCATCCAGGGTGTGTCCTACCTTGCACCTGTTGCTTGCTGGGATAGATTTTTAGCTTCCTCTTGACCCTAAAGAAGTGGTCAGAAAATGGATAGGTGCAGCCAAGTTGTTCTAACAGTGATAAGACTCTTAAAGGCCTTCCTCTAGAGGGCAGTGTTGATGCACGGCAGGCACTGCTCAGTGCCTGAGTCCGTGGGTTTTTGCTTCCAGCTCAACAGTTAACGAGCTGAACCGGCCTGTTACCGGGCTTGTCTCAGACCCTTTTAAAAGCTTCACCCAGCTCCTGCTGTAGAGATCTGGAAAACCTGCTGAGACAACGCCCCCTGCTGGACACCCCTGATTTACACTAAGATAATGTAACACCTGTACACGTGTCGGCCCGCAACCCCGTCTCTCCACACAGTCTGCTCTTTTGATAACTGCTGCTCCTTCCTCATGAGTTTTCCCTTACTTGCCCACATTTCTCCATTACAGTCAGACCAGAAAGGGATCTTGCAGTGAGGCTCATCTTGAACGGAAGGAGTAACCGAGCAAAAGCTCCTTTTAAACCTTGTTCAAATTTAAGTTAAACCAAGTTCCACTTGTTCAGTCATGATTTCCTTCTTTGTGTCCGAGGAAGAAGGCAGAGGCTCTGCTGTGTTGTGATGTGGGTGTTATTTTCTGAGCAGCTGAACACACTATGGTGTTTGTATTCTGCATTAAGGTATAATAAAATCCTCATGTCAGGTCAGCTTTGATCTTATCGTGATAATTATTGAAACATCGGAGGTTGATCATGGCCACAGCTGTGGTATAAAAAGCCCTCGTAACTCCTCGTGATTGCGAGCTGAGTGAAAGAGAATAAATAGTAATGAAGGCTGAAGAAGGCTCCTGAAGAAGACACCTGAAAAAGGCTCCACGGCCGAAACGTTGTGTTTTCGGAAACGTTGGAATAAACCTATTACTTGTTCCTTTGCAGCCTACGCACGCTGACGCAGCTCCCCACCTGAATTATTACTAGTTGCTGTTTTTGTTGTAGTAACCATTATTATCGTTCGTTCACATTTACATGAATTCTGTTACACAGCGTAAATCTACTTGAAGAATAGAACTGATAACACTGCACGTGGATATTGGCAAACCTACAGTATACACGTATTCATCTATTTATACAGTATTAAAGAAAAAATCTGAAGTATTTTGTATGCAGAGTTCAAACTTAATTCCAAACTCCAAATCCGGGTGATCCAGTCGAGACAAACAAGATGCGGCTAAAACCCGGAATGGGATCCAGTGCAGGGACAGGGAATAAAAAACGGGAAGACAAGGCCTGACGCCCTGAGCCCCGGACTCAGCTGGGTCAGGATGCCGATAGGAGTCCTATGCCCTCAAGCCGCGAAGGTAGAGGGACTTGATGGTAGGCGGACCTCCGGGCGTCCGTCTTCCAGTGCAGAGCCCAGAGAAACGAGAGCGCCCGGCTTAGATAAGGAGGGGCAGGATAGGGGGCAGGTGCACGTAATTAGAAAAATAAGAAAGAGCCAGAATGCCCTTAAGAGGACGGATTACGATCATGACAGTAAGAGATAGCAGTCCCAGTCCCTATCAGGAGTCACATAAGGGCCAACCATCTGTGGGAGCAGACGAAACAGGGTCCGGTTTTCTGATGTTGTCCCGAGCAGGCGCCCCCCACTTCTTAACATTCTTTCAGTCAAGATCTGTGGCTTAGATGTTTTATCATTTGTTGAGCATGACAGATTCTCA